TCAGTGTGCTGGCTGGACCTCCAGAGACCCGAGTCCTGTTCTGGGTCCTATTTGTCTTATATGACTTTGTGCAAATCGTACGGTCGTTCTGTCCCGGTTTCCCACTTGTCAGTGTGGTTAATGTTTCCATACTGCAGAAAGAAAACAAAGGTTAACTTAATTGTTTGAGGTAGTCAACTGTTGCAGTGATGGGTATGATAAGTGCACGCAATGTAAAAGGCTGCTGACCAGCTGGTGAATACTGCCAGGGTGATTAATAACTTCATTTTACTGCTGCATGCAAAGTCTTGGCCATGCTTCACTTGAACGGCGACTACGATCAACGCTGGAGCTTACAGAGCCTGTGTCCTGCAGACAGGTTGTCCTACTTGATGCACATAGCGAGTCACTTTTAATCACTCTTCGTTGATTAACAAGATAAAGCTGCTCAAACTCTGATGCCCTTTTGCGGATTAATCAGGATTTCAGCTGGGGATCTCTTCTGCCATTTTTTAAGCCAAAACTTGTACACTGAGCTAGCTGCAGCTTAGAAAATGTTGAGATCCTTGCTGGTGAAGGAGCAGCTTCGGCATCCTTGGAGCTGTGACTCTGAGTCCCTGGCTGGAGAGGAAGGTTACGCCTAGGAGCTGCTGGCGGAAAAAGCCAGTTGTCAGGCTTCATGGTGCTGGGAGATGGAGATGTCTGAACTGCTGGGGAGGGAAAATTAAAGCTGTCACATGCCAGTTGAGTAAGAAACCATGCATTTTTGAACTCTGCATCCTCAATTGCCCCTGCTTTCCCTATGGCACAGGCCAGGCGTTGCCTTCTCTTGATAGAGCCATCCGCTCTTGTCCAAGGAGCTGCGGCAGACGAGTCGGTAAGAGAAACCCTTCCCGTGGGTGCATCATGCCGGGTAATCTGCCAAGCTGCAGCACAAATCAATGTTGCTTGTTCTGCTGCTGGTTTGATCGTGTGTGCATACAGTGTTATATCAAGGAGGGAACATGTGCTCTCTCTGTCAGTGAAATGAATAAGGCACGCCTGGTGAACAGGGAGTAGCTTGTGTGGGCAGCGATGATGGAGCTGGAGAGAGGCAATTAATCTGTCTGACCCATCCAGCTGCTTCTCTTTGGCTCTAGGAGAATGTATTATTGAATTTTATTATTTAATAATTAAGGACAAGGAGTAGGATAGAAAATAGCGTACAAAAAAGAGAATTTCATTCTATAAATTGATGGCCTGATCTCTTGAGAGCTGCCACATACCCACTGCAAAAATGTGCACTGTGAAATAACAGGGACACCTAAACCAGCTGGGGACCAAGAAAAACACTTGTGGGATGAGGTGGAAGAGGGTGGGAGTTTATCTGAGAAAAGAAATGGAGATGCACACATGATGCATCACATGCGCTGGGGCGCTTTTGTTCTTCTCCGGTGTAAGATTCAGACAACCAAGGAACAAAATTAAGAAGTAAGCCCCCCGGCTGGGCTGCGCCCAGGCTCCTCACGCAGGCTCGGCGTGCTTGTGTTTCTGGGAAATGCAAATCGAGGTGTTTCGTACAGTGATTAACCAACATATCTTCTGACAGACACTTTTGTAAACTTACTTCTGCTAGCTATTAGAAAAGAGGGAGGAACAGCCTGAAGGATGCTTCTAATTGAGAACGTTCAATGTCCTACGACGAGATGTCAAATTTATGTGACTGTCAGGCTCACCTTTCAATCCGAGGTATGGCGGCAGTATGCTCTGGGTTTAGTGCTCAGCTTCCATCAAGTTTGTAAACAACATTGATTTTTCTGTTCTGCCTGACAGAGGGTGCGAGCGGGAATCTCGCGCCGGTGTTCAGACTTTGATGCCGTAACGAGATGGGCTTCTCCCCGCGGGGAGGGATGAGACAGAGGCTGCAGTCGATGTGCGGCACCGAAGCCCACAAGCCCCCGTCCCGTCCCAGGGCTGTCTGCCAGGAGGCACCGGGGGACCGGCCGTGCCCTGGCTCTGCTCTTGGGGCGCACGTCTCCCCGAGCCCTCCAGCCGCTGGGAGAAGGGCCGGTTCTGGGGTGTGCGCTCGGGTCACCTCCCTGCAGAGCCGGGAGGAAACGCTTGAGCGTTCGGGAAAGTTCAAACGTTGTCCCCAGCGTGCGGGGACTGCGGGATTTGGGGGTCTGCTGATTCTCTGCCCCTTCTCGGGCGCAGCACGTGTTCGGCTCGCTGTCGGTGGCTCTTTCAGCAGAGACCTCCAAATGCTCCGTGCTTGTGCTGGGTTTCTCTGTTGAAATCTGGCTGCCTCCTCTGCCGTGGTAGGATGTGTTCTCAGGCTTCTGCTCTCTGGAAGCGGCTGCGCCCTGTGCATGCGGGGCGTTGGGATCTTTAGCGGGCCGCTGGTGATGTTTCTGCCCTGTGTTGTGGTCAGGGCTGCCTAACTAAAGGAAAAGCAAGCTACCTATGTCGCCATTAGATGAATGTAACATTAGTTTTGGTTTGGTTTCTCAAATATAAAGAGGAAGCTGGAAGTTTTGGGAGTAATTGAAATACTTGCTAGTTTTTTTCTGTTTTATCTAGCATCCTAGGTAGGGAATGACATTTACTATGCATTGTGGCTCGCTGTCTTAATCTTCCTCCTCTTTTGTGTTTGTCAAGCCTGTGCTTTTAAAGGTTAGCTTTATCTGGTATTGGAGGCATGCAGACTGAGACGGGAGAGGTGAATATGGAACTGCAGGCTCTCCAGTGCCATACTGGCAGCAACTGTTGCCGAGAGTTTGCAAGATCAAGGAGCAAATGTCAATTCTTCTTCCTAGAAATATATATTTTCCTAGAAATCCTGCCTCCAGCGCCTCTCGGGAGAGGATGCTCCAGCTGTCCGGCAGGCACTGCCAGCCGGTGGAGGTGTCTGGGCTCCCCTTGCAGCCAGTGAGACCGGTGAGGGCTCCTGGCACGTGGGTCGTCTCACCCAGCGCCAGCATCGCAGGCAGGTCAGGCAGACAAGAAACGCCAGCGCGCCTCCGGTGACCGCTGCGGGGTCCCGATGTCCAGCTCAGCTGGCCAGAGCCCACCGCTGGTGCTGCCCTTTGCGTCTGGGCGACTGCAGCATGCGCTGAAATGCTTTGCCTTGTCCAGTTCAGCTAGGAACCGCAGCCAAGAGGGGCCCAGGAGTAATCTGCTAATTTGGGCTCCCTCGTTTTTTAAAAGGTTTTTTTTTTTTTTTTTTAATTCTCCTTTTTAACAATTGAACTCTTCAGTTTTGCTATAGAAATAGAACGCTGAGTCCACATCAGCTGGAAAGTTGCAATTTCCATTCCAGATACAAGGAAGTCTCTCTTCATTTCTTGGGCTTGAGGAGGCCAAATCTCCTGCTTTCTGCAGGCTTTGCTTGCCTTGGGTGACACGACAGCACGAGATCTTGTCTGGCAAGGAGCAAGGCTTTTGGGCAGCTCTTGAAAGGCTGTATCTGTTCTGTAAGAAAAGCAAAAATGTCTCGTGTGTTTTGCTGCTCCCAGCTCTGCCAAGCTGCTGTCTGCCGTGTGCCGGCGGCCAGGGGATGAAGGGACCGCGGGGAGTACAAACCTCAGCTGTGGTGCTGCGGTCCCTCCCCGTGTGTGACTGCAGGGCACTGAATTTCTAAAGACCTTGCGGTAGATGAAATAGCCTCCCCTTAAATATTCACCCATTTTCAGCATCCCAGGGAAAGATCCTCTCCGCCCTGTGCTACATCTTAGTGCTTTGTCCTCAGATCACAGCTGTAGCTGCCAGTTTTATATCATGCTAAAAATTAATGAACCAGAGTGCACTGGAATAATCTGCTTTAAAAGAACAGTCTCAGCAGCCAACTCCTTAAAAATTGTAAGAGAGAGGACTGCGTTAGTGGAGCTGTTCATCTAGGAACTTTACAAGTGATTAAGTTTAAATATTGAGGGAGCCGATGACGGGGTAGCAGCCAGCAGCACCACACCAAGAAGATGAAGAAGCCAAGCAAAACATGAGTGCTTCTGTTTGGCTTGAAAACCAGCTGAGACAAACCCCTGGCCCTGCCGGGGGTCGCCCCCCAGCACGGAGGGGCTGCCAGCCCCGGGGGACCGATGTGCCGGCGGGCAGGAGCTGTGCACGGGGCACCCTGCAATGCCAGGCAGACGTTTCTTTGCAGGCTGCTTCCTTTTCAGATGTTTTAGGGTCAAACTGAAGCTGTTGCAAACTGCTTTATGGGGGTTTGCAGCTTTTATTGTTGTTTTTGTAAGGTAGTAAGTCTTTCATGCAGAAGTAGCTTGTGTGTGTCCTGCTAGGGGTATTGCTCGTAGGCTGCATGCTGCTTTTAGTAAAGATCAAGCAAATCCTTGACCGGCGTGTGAATTACTTGTTTGTTTGCATATCAAAGGTACTTTCAAAAGGATGAGGGGAGCCTGTGTATGACCTATAAAAGCAAATTTATACTGCTGCCTAACTTCAGCCCATACCTCACCGCCTGCAGTGACTGCTGTATAATCCACAGTGATAAAGCCGTAGCTGCCAGTGACATGGCCTTCTGGCTTGGGTTTGTATATGAAGCTCTGGTGATTGATGAGGTCTCCAACTTCTCCATTGTCTATATTCCCCCCCTTTTGGGGTTGTTGCTGAGCCTTGCTGTGCCTCCCATGTCATCTCTGCTCCGCTCACCTGACTCTCAACCCCAGTCATGTGTTCTCTGTATCCTGCATCTTTCTGCAGCCACCTTGTCCCGTGTCCCTCCAGAACCTCCACGCGGTGCTCCAGCTGATGTCTGACCATTCCTCCAGCCCCTTGAAAGGGTCCTCCAGCCTGGAAGTCAGTGCAGAGCTGCAGCACCCAAATGTCCATTCTGGGTCGAACCAAAGGCACATCTCTCTTGGTGCCAGGATCATGCAGGCGCTCGGGGAAGGTAGCTTGGAGGGTGATGCCTGCTGGCCAGTGGCAGGCAAAGGATGTCCCAGGAAATGGGGAAATGCAGTCATCAGACATATCCCCCATTCGTCTTGTGGTGTTCTTCCCGTAACTCCCTCTCTCTGTCTTTTCAGCTTGCCTTCCTGGATTTTACAGGCTTTCCCTCCGTCTCCCTTTCTGCTCTCCTTGCCCTGAGCACAGCTTCACGCATGAGGAAGCCTCCACGTTCTGTTCGTGCCAGAAGAACTACTCCAGGTCCCCGTCAGACCCACCATCTGCCTCCTGCACACGTACGTCTCGCTGAAATGCCGGCTCTTTGTAAAGCGAGGATACGGGGATCCAGACGCTGCGTCTGTCCTGCAGCGCAGAGCTGAGCGGGTGCCCGGGAGGCTGTCCCAGGCTGTCCCCCTGCTAGCCCGTGGGAGCTGCGCCCGGGCACGCGTGTCCCTGGGAGGTCCTGTCTGCACCAGGGTACTGCCGCGGTGGGGAGGGGATGGAGGGGCTGTCCCTACGCCGCAGAGCTCGCAGGCTGAGGCTGCGATCTGATGAGACAGGCGTGCGGTCGGGCTTGCAGACTCCCAGGTAAAACTAGGGCACAGTCATTTAGTCCATATAGTTTACAGATTTTAATTAAATGGCCTCTAGTTAATTGGATTGGACCCCAGCTACTCTAGTGATGGATGCCGGAGAGCTGCTTGCACGGCGATGAGAAACCCTCCTGCTTTGCCGGAGAGGGAGCGTGGCTGGGCAGTGTCGGAGCAGCGGCAGGGCTCCTGGGCCCCTTGCAGCCGAACCCTGGGGAGGCGCTGGGTCTGACCGGGTGCTTCTCATGCGCTGTGAGAGCTGCGGCTTGCTGTGTATGACATGTCCCTTCGGCGGGGATCCTCTGTCCGGTGTCCCCACCGTGCTGTGTGCATCAGTGCATCCATGTCCCCTTGCGCTGCCATGTGCTGTGGCTGTCCGGCACCGTGCTCTTTTGCTCTGCCACCGGTGCCTGTGGTGCTGCTCCCAGAGGACCCGTAGGTTCACCCTCCTCCCCAGGCAGCGCCCAGCTGTCCTGGCACCCGTGCACAGACACTCTTCTGCTTCCAGGTCCACCCTCCGCCCCGAGGAACCTGGTCTACAGCCTGCGGCAGTCATCACTGGTCCTGGAGTGGAGTGCCCCTGCCGACGCAGGCGGCCGGAGCGACCTGACCTACAGCCTGTGGTGCGGCCGGTGCCCGGCGGCTCTGCGGGGCCGCTGTGAGCAGTGCGGCAGTGGTGTGGGCTTTGTGCCGCAGCAGACGGGGCTCGTGGACCGGACCGTCACCCTGGTGAACCTGCTGCCTCACGTCAACTACACCATCCGCGTGGCAGCCGTCAACGGTGTCTCGGGCATCAGCCCGCTGTCGGGGCAGCAGTACGCCGAGGTCAACATCTCCACCGGCCTCGCAGGTACGGCTGCTGCGTAGCGCGTGCAACCGCTGAAGGCAGGCAGTGCCTTGCCCCCATTGCCCCAAGAAGACAGTTGCCCACGCTGTCTTACACTTGCGTGTCACCTCTGGGGTCTATGGGTCTGCTCGGTGGCCGGTTCCGTGGCTTAATTGCCAGGAGGGCGTGGGGTCTGGAGGTGGTGTGGGCACCATCCTCAGGCTCTGCCCATCCAGTGCCGCGGCAGTGCCCTGATTCCTCTTGGTTTGCTCCGGTGGCACAGACGTGGTGCTCAGCGATGGTGGGCAGCGCAGCAGCACAGGCAGGAGGGGGAGATGGAGACCGGCCTGCGATGCTCCCAAGGGGGTCTTGGTTGGTGCCACAGGGAGGCGAGGAGCTGGCTGTGCTGGAGGAGCCCGTGGCCCCGTTGTCTCCCACTGCACTGTGCTGGCTTGCAGCAGGGTGGCAGTGACTGTGGGGACAGCCTGGGCTCCTCCCAAGGGACGAGCCTGCTCTGTGATCCGGCTGCAGTTTGAATTTACAGATCACAAAAAAGCACCTTCAGAGAAGCAACATTTTCAGCCCATTCACAAAAAACCCTCATTAAAATAGGTAATTCAAATATTGGCTATCCTTTGGAAACAAAAAGATTGATTTCATCTCTCTTCTGTGCCGGTCTGTGGCACAGTTTCTTACTGTAAGTGTCCCTTTCCACGTTTTGCGTTTCTGTTCCTTTACGTGAGGGGAAGCGAGCATCCAGCCTGCCTGCATGCCCGGGGCCCCTGGCCGGCCGGAGGGGTTTGATCCCTCTCAGTTGTTAGCTGTGCCTAAAAGAAATCAGCTCTGGCTTGTTGTGTCCTTGTCTATTCCTCTGCGGTTACGTTATTAATTTGCATGAAAACCCTTTGCCAAGCCACAGTTAATGGAGACAGATGATCCTCACGTACCTCGTGGCAGGAATCAGCCAACAATTTCGCCTGAAGAGATTAAACTTTGATCTTGTTATAATAATTTTCCCACCACTTGATCAAATGTTCTTGCTTGTGTTGTTGCTTTCTCGTCCCTCGTATAATAATTTCTGTGAATCCGTTGGGTGGATGCTGTGCTGCAGAGTGCTCCTCAGTGGAGGTGTCATTCCTCATTAGGATCTTTCCTGTTCAAGGATGGATTTAGCTCTGGGAAGATCTTCTGTCTCCTGAGCTCGGGCTGTTCCTGAGCCAGCGTACAAGCTGGGTGAGCTTAACGAGGTCTAATAACGAGCTGTTCCTCCAGAGGCTGCTGCCTGGTGTTGGGCAGAGGGCAGGGGGACTGGTGTTCAGGAGCTGCCTCCTCGCCTGGAGCTTCAGGTCCGAGCTGGGGACAAGAGGCCGGGTAAGGGCAGCAAGCACCCCGTCCTCTGTAGGGAGTGAAGCAACAAGTCCGTGATACCAACCCACGCCTTAGCCATTTGTCTGTTTAATACGGCTTTTCTTCTGGGTAAGTGGGAATCTCAACCCCTTACTCAACACGGCATACTCCTGAAGGAACTGAACTATGCATAAAGAATATGGCATAATTAATCTTGTAATCTGTTCAAAATCAATGCCTCTTGTCGAGCTGTCAAGTCTCCGGATGCAGATGGTGGCTTAGAATTGGCTGAGCAGCTGAGGCTCAGGAAATTTCTTGACACACTTCAATTTTTTGCTGCTGAAGGTGTCCCCTCCCGGGGACAGTGCCAGGCTGGACCTGCTCTGTGCCCAGGTGCCCAGGTGGCCCCGTTCCTCTCGCTTTGGCACTGTGGGCACGAAGTGACAGTGATGATTAACCTGCACCTATCGGCAAGGAGGGGAGAAGGTCATCTCCTGGGGAGGCAGCTTCTCAGTCTGGTTTGCCCCTCTTGGGCCAGAGCCCCCCTGCTGCGAGGATGGCTGTGTATGGGGGGGACCCTGTGCAGGCAGGGCGCAGTGCAGGCAGGGCGCAGTGCAGGCAGGGCGTGGGGCCGTGGCTGGCACCCACGGCTTGTAGAGCCGCTCCGTGGAGCGTGCTGTCTCCAGCCCTGGTGCCCTTCATCATTAAAGGCCGTCACAGAAGTGCTGGATGGGGCTGGAGATCAGGAGAAAGGGAGACTTCAGGGGTGCCTGCAGCAGCGGTGACTTCTTGGTGGCTGCGATGCAATGGTCTCGGGGATGTCATTTGCAGCAGCAGGGAAGCTCTGGCTGCAGATACGCAGAGTCAGAGAAAAAATTAAACAAAGAAACAAGACCCTATTTAGCTGTCAGATCCCGGCTCCTCTAAATATAGCTCTGAGTGCGGCTTTCGCACTGCCCTTCCCCTTCAGCAGTCACAAGAGGGAATTAGCAGTTGTTCATTGTATTTGCAGGGGAAAAGAAAAGATGCTATTTAGTCTGCAGGAGGCAAAATTAATACTGTGTTTTTTCTAATCTGGCCCCAGCATGGGACTAAATAAAAGTGTTTGCGGAGCGAACGGAGCTGTTTACCTGCAGGAGTAGAGCTGCATTAGCTATGTAAATGTACACTCTGGGACGATGTCATTTATATTCCCGGCAGGGATCGGCTCCTGTCTTAAAGGGCTTTTAAATCTGTTGCAGATTAATAATGCAGCCAGTGCCGAAATGCATTCTCCTTTCTCAGACTGTGGAGAAGTGGTTTGTGCTGAATTAGGTCCTCTGAAGTAGACTTCTCTGCGCCTGCTTGGTGCTGGTGCAGCAACAGCAGCCCAGCCCCGGCCGGGAGGGGCAGGGGGGCCGCAGGACGAGCTGACTCCGGGGCGAGGGCACACGCTTGCGGGGGCTTTGCCCTCCACGCGCAGAGAACCGGACCTGGAAGAGCTGCACGGTGACCGATGAGGCTGCTGCCCTGGTTGGGAAGGAAGGACCCTCGGGCAGGAGTTTCCTGGGACGGTGCCTAGTGCATTTTCCACGTTGGGGTGTTAATAACTGGTGATGGAGGGGAGAGGCTGGCTCTCCCCAGCGCGAGCAGTGCCGTGGTGCAGGGCGGCAGAGGCGTTCGAGGGCAATGGCAAGTTGTATCCATCCGATTGCCACCCACCGCATGCGCGGAGCCACAGACAGCGCGGTGGACAGGTCGTGGTCTGCTCTTGCTTGCTGTCTGTCTGCTCGGCTGCCCCAGCTCTGAAAAGGTGTGGGGAGAGCGTTCCTGGAGACGGCCGGGCGCGGGAGCTGGGCACCAAAGAGGCTCTTCTGCTGCGTGGCCTGCAGGCACTCTTGGTTCAACTCTGTCTTTAAGTACCTGCCGTTGTCCCTCTCTAACCCCTTTGGGTTTTGGATGCAGCTGGCCGTTCCGTGGAGGGACGCGGTGCCCACACCTAATTTTACGCCTTTTCTGCTGATACGCTGGTTAATTAAGAGGAGTAAACCCACATACAATGGAATGGAGCTTATAAAATCAGGCAGCGTGGTGAATAATTTAATGTTTGCTTTATCAGAATAGAGGCAATGTTAGGGGAGCTTAAAATATTGATGGAAAACACATTTTTTTTCACAGTGTGAAATGCTTTATAGTCTGTGTGATTTTCTTTAATCCTTTTTAAACACGTTTGAGGCTAGTGCCTGCTTTTCTGGCGTGTACCATGGGTTCTGCTCTACAGCCCATCACTAAGAGAGTGTGATTTTTCCTGATGACTTTGTTAACAGTCAGGACCACTTGTTCAGGTTTCTTCAGCCCGTTTCTAGATTCCGAGATACAGGAGGGCATCCGTGTGATATTTTATTGATGGGAATCACATAGAACAGCAAGGAGCACTTACCTTATTTTGCAGGAGTAAAACGCAAGTTAAGCGTCAGGCTGGCCTCAGCCGCCCGTATCGCTTGTCGTTTCATAAAACATGCGGTGCTGCGCACTCATGCGGAGGCCCCAGGCTCGTGGTGGGGATTCCCCCACCGCCCCAGCGACGAGAGCTGCGAGCGTGCCTGTGTGCATGTCTGTGCATGTGGGTCAGCGTGCGTTTGCGAGACTGGTGAAGGGAGTCGAGGATATTTATCTTTTTTTTTTTTTTTTCAGCTTATTGAAACACTTCTTACGTATGAAAATCATTCTCACCACTCCGTCCCAACAGCAAATGCCATATTACAGCCCGTGCCAGCCTAAAGCTGGCTCTGATGAAGTGGAAATACGGAGCAATTTGCAAGGTTTGGAGCAAAAGTGTGCCCAACTGGTGCAAATTCGGTCATACTCATTCTTGGTGTTTGAAGTGCCACAAGCGGGCACGGGGCTTCCTGCGGGTGCTGGCGGGGTTGAAGGTCTCTGGCAGAGGAGGGGACCCTTTGCCACACATGGGTGCTGCTGGCGCTGGCCGTTTCCCATGCACCGTCATACAGACTGGCATGAGGAGGGCGGTAGCACCACACGCACCGCGGGATCGCCGTGCTGGAGGAGTCGCAGACCTCTCCTTGTGCAAAAAACGTTGGCAAAAAGTGCTGGAGGTCTGAAAGCTGTGATGTGTTTGGCAGTCTGACGTGGGCAGGAGAGGTTCGCTCCATGGGTGCCCGTGACGATCTCTGTAGTCCTGCCTTTTATCTTGATCTCGGAGAAGGAGGCAGGCCTCGGCAGCATCTGTGCTCCAGGTTCATGGTGCAGCCGCCCGGGCGGTCGTGTCCTGCTTGGCCTGGCAGACCTTTCTGCCTTGCTTCGTGCTGCCGGGGTGAACTGTCTCCCCCTTCTTTACACATGGACAATGCGTTATCCCCTTAAAGGTCAGCTCTGGGGCCAGTGTATTTCCTCGGAGAATTATTTTTAAAAAGGTCAAGTGAGGCGCAGCCAGATTGCAGAAGAGGGAGCTGTGTGCAGGGGGTGTGAGCTCACACGAGCGCGGGGGCTCCTGGCTGCCCTTCGGGTCCTCTCGCTCTTCCAGCAGAAGCTGAAGGGATGTGGAATCAAGGAGCAACTCATCATGAACAAAACATCAGGAGGACTTTTTTCTTCAGCAAAGCTTAGATTAATGAGCTAAGTAATAAATAAAAAATTTCACAGATACTTAAGTTTATTTCCCAGGGCCTTGTTCCTCTCCACAGGAGTCTCTGTGGGATAGTCAGGGTCCAGCAAATGTCCTGATTTGACGGAGAAGCGGGACAAGCTACAAACGGCCGATTTCCCCGTGCAGCGTTCCCTGCGCCTGCTGCAGGGCCGCTGGTGTAAACGGGTGAATCGGTCACTGCAGCCCCTTCAGCCCGGTGTGTTCTGGCCCCTGGTGCTTACCGGGGTGATCCAGGGACCACCCTTCCTTGTGCCAGGACTGTGCCACCCAGCCGCGGCCAGGCTGATGGCTGCCGAGGGCACGCTGGGCAGCCCAGAGCCACAGTTACGGGAGGCTTTTCTGCCATTCCCCATTCCCTCCTCATCCAGAGAGGAGACTTTCTGCCCCCCAACCAGGACAGCTTGTGGCACAGCCCCAGGAGAGCTGTGAAGACCTTACTTGGTGTGTTTGCACCCTGGGGAGGTCAGTTTTTCTAATCAATCCTAGTTTTCTCTCTAATCAATCCGAATCAGAACAAGGGGCTCCGAGAGAAGCTTTTATCAAGGTACCAGGTACAAAGGTTTTTTTCCCTACTAAACTATTTAGTGTCTTTCTTGCATAGCACCTTCACAGCAAAGACACCGATGTCCTAGCATGTCCCAGCCAGCCCCTTCCTCCCTGCTTTTGCTGGTGAATGCCCTGGCCGTGGGCAGATCCATCACGTCTGAGCTGCTGCTGCCTTGCTCTGGGCAGTCAGGGGATGCTGGGTCCTTGGCTGGCTCCTGAGGTGCTGCAGACAGCCTGACGGGTCCAGCTGGCTTTCTGCTGGTGCAAGAGGCAGAGCTGCTGGGATGCTGCCTGCAGGCAGGGAGCCCGGTGCAGGCAGTGCCGCTGCCTGTCAGCTGCAGGAGCAGTATGGGCACTGAGCGCAGCTCAGCGGCTTGAAGGCAGGAGAAGGTGCTCAGAGGAGGGGACAGCATGGAGGAGGCTCTGCAAAAGTGGAGATGAGCGCAGCAGGGTAAGGCAGGCAGACCCTCCTCTGCTGCCGCAAACAGCAAAGGCATCAGTGTCAGGCAGAGAGCGTGCGGATAGCTGGGAGCTGCAAGCTGCCTGCTGCGTACTGGAGCCAAACCTGGTTAAAATGGGAATAGTTGGCAAATTTCATCTTGCATAGTGAGATGAACTAAACGGGAGCATGCATGCCAGGGAGGAAGATGCAGCATGGAGCATGTGCTAACTAGAAATAACCAGCCAGCTCCTGGGGCACAGGCTGTGTGCTCGGCAGCGGATAGGACAGGCAGCTCTCCCATCTGGGGTGGCGCGGGGCAGAGCCCGTGCCAGGGTGGTTGGAGGGGGCTGGAGAAGCCTTGGTATGTGCTACAAGCCCTCCTGCTCAAAGACTGTGTGTTGTATTTCCCAGAAATCGTTAGCAGCAGGTTCAGAGCACTGGACGTTGGCTGATGCTCGGACCCCTCCGCAGCACCGTGGGCAGAGGGTGCCTTTAGGTTTTTTTGCTTGTTTTCAGTCAATGCATTACTAGCTGCCCACAGATTACAAAGCTGTTGTATTTTTACCATCATCTTCTCCCATTGGGTGATCACTAGCTTGGAGTTTGCCCTATTTCAGCCCTGATTCAGAGAGAGGGAACTGGTAACTGCAAAAGAAGCATGCTCTTCGGCTGTTTGAATTGTTAAAGTTTTTGCTGCGGCACCAC